GCTGAGGAAACCGAGGCCCAATAAGTAAAAGCAAGCTACCCAGGCCACAGACTGATCCCTGCGATCATCTCTGGGCTTAGCCATGGGGTCTCCTTTCTCTGTTGAAAGGCACACGGATGACACTGACCACTTTCCAGATAAGGGAGCAGAGACCCAGAAGGAAAAGCGATTGGCGGTCCCCCGAGGGAGAACCAGAATCTGCACCCTGGGGCTCCAGGCTCCTAGAAAGCAGGAGGCAGGGGGAGGACAGCGTCACCTGGAGGACCACAGAGATGGTCTTCTCGCCTGCCTTGGCTGCCCGCCATTTTCGGTAAGTGTCCGCCTTGAGAAGGTTTTCTGCACAGTGGGTCTGGGGACAAGCGGGGGAAAGGAGAGTTAGGGCACAGAGACCAGGGCTACACCCGCAGCGCTCGGCTTACTCCTGAGTCCCCCGGGGCCCTTGGGAGCTCCCAGATGGAAGCTCTCGCGTTAATCCCCACACTCTGGCCTGGAGGGTCATCTGTAGGCTCTCCACGGCAGCAACCCTATTCTTTTCTCTCCGGAAGTTCCAGAGACGCCCGGAAGTTCTCGAATTCCACATGTCTCCCGGAATTCACTCCTAGCCGCTTACGAATCCCCCCCATGGTCACTCCTAGATTTCCGCGAAGTTCCCTTTTACACCCCAAAAGTTCTTACAGAACCCTCCTCATGAATTCCCTTACTTCTTCCAACCTCCCCCACGTCGGCCCCTCACCGAGTCCTGGCTGCTACAGGACACGACGTGGCGGAGGCGGATCTCCGGCATGTCAACGTCGTGGGCTTTGCCTGGCCCGAAGGATGAAGAACGGTCTGGGTTTGAGGGGCGAGAGCAGGGGGGGGTGCTCCCGCTGCGGGCTTAAGTGCGCAAGCGCGCGAGGCTCGGGCCTTTCAAACCGCGGCGCGCGGGCGCTCGCGTCAACACTGCGCAAGCTCAGTGGTCCCGAAAGAGACGCTGTGTTCCCTAGCAACGAGCTTCCCTCTAGCCCCGCCTCCTGCCAACGTTGTCGCTGTAGTTCTGGAGCCTAGCAACAGGAGCGGCCTCCGGGATTGGTGCTGAGAAGAAATTTGCTATTCTCATTGGACGACGCGGTCACCGCCCAAGCTGAAGTCTGGAAAACCAGAGACCCGTCAATCTGAATGGATTTTCGCTAGGAGCCTGGATCCTACCGTAATAAGGTCTCCTCCGCTGGCTCCTGCAGCTACACTCTTATCCACCTCCCCCGGCTACGCACACTCGAAAAAACCCTCAAGTTTCTCTTAGCCTCATGTCGGAAACCAAGAAAGACTGAGCCAAGGTCCTAAATAAAACACAAGCATGTGCCCAGACCGCGCGCACACACACTCAGACTACAGTGCTTCCACAGATGCCTCAGTTTTCCAATATATGACCCGCGGACATCAGCGTCTTACCACGCCCGCCCCGATCGCTGACAGACACCCTTCTGTTCGGTCCCCTCGAGACTCAGCAGTGCAGCCCTAGGCAGGTTCGGTGCTGGAGACAGCCCAAACAGAGTATGAGCCAAGAATGCGAAGGAGAAAGGAAGGAGACACGTTGCTGGCCCCCACAAGACGAGCCTGGACATGCTGGGCACTCCCAGGTCGGGCCCCACCTACGCTGGCCACCTCCTTGGGAAGAGAGAAGAGGGGATCTCAGTCCTTGCAGTTGCTGCCTCCCTCTATGCCCTCAGAGAATCAAGTGATCCAACTCCCACCTTGGGCTTCAAGAAAAACAAATGTTAATGAAAAAAAAAAATTGAGCTGTGAGAAGGTGGAAAACCAGAAGGGACCTCCTGGATTCGCTGGGGGAGGGGGCTGGAAGTTCAGACTCCCTGGGGTCCCCGTGGAGAAGGTTGGCCAAAAGACACCCAGGTTCCTTGGGATTCTGATTCCACCTCCCCAACCTGGGATTGCCAAGGACTGGCCTGGGTTCTGACCTCAGCTATTTCTCACCCCAGGGTGAAGGTGGGTCTGGACCCGCCCCTCCTGAGCTTCCTATAAGGGCTGGGAACCCGGGCCACAGGTTCAGACACCATGAGGCCCTCCACGAGCCCGGGGACTGTCCTGCTAGCCTTCACGCTGCTCTGTGCCCTCCTAGGTCTTGGTAAGTTACAAGGAGGACTCCTTCCCGGGGTCTCCGAAGAGAGGACTATGAGAGAGCATACAGCAAGGTTCTCGAGGGGGAAAGGACGGCGTCCCCTGGGAATTCCCCTCAGGGAGGAGGCAGAGGCAAGGGCCATGATATTGGATCCAGAGAGAAGGGGCTTGATGGCTCTAAACCCTCTGTCCCAACAGGCAGGGTCCCAAAAGAAGACCTAGGAGATCAAACAGCATGACTAGGACGGGGGGAATTTTTTTTTTTTTTAATTACCATGTGCTTGTTGGAAAGAGACAGAGAGAGGAAGAAAGTGAGAAACCACCCTGCCAGGTAGAATGGCCATGCTGCAATCCCGCCTCCTCTATTCTCTTGGGATTTGGGGCACATGAGCATACACACACACAGCATGCACACACAAACACACTCCCGGCATGGTTTTGTTATAAGGGAGATTTTTTTGTTTTAAGGGACATTTTTGCCATAGGGCACATATACTCACTGGAGAAACAGGGAGAGACAGAGAGACAGAAAGCTACAAATCCCCCAGGGGGGATGGCCATGCTGCAATCCCTTCTCTTCCATTCTCCTAGGATTTGGGGCACGCACACACATGCATCCAGCATGAGTTTTAGGTCACCAGGACTCGAACCATAGTCACCTACCTGGTAGTCCAGTGACATAACCATTACACCATCTACTGTGTTTTTGTTTCCCTTTTTTTTTTAAGGATTATTTTATTTAACTTGATTTATTTATACTTTTTTTTTTATTTTAATTTGACGAAAGAGAGAGAGAAAGAAAGTGAGAAAGCAAGCCACCAGGCTCAGGACTCAAACCGTAGTTGCCCATGTGGGAATCCAGCACCTTTAACCACCACGTCATTTGCCGGCCCCTACTGTGTTTTTCAATCTGCTGGGTCAGGGATTCAAACCTGGAGTTGGCCCTGTGGAGTCCAGCTGTCTTAACCAACATGCCACCCAATGGCCCTGAGGAATCTTTTCAAAATTAAAAAATATGTTTTTTAAGAAGAAGAGAGATTGTCTTTATCGCTGTACTCTGAGGTCAGACCCCCATCCCTCCTCCTTTAGACACAGGAGTCTGACCAAGCTTCAATTTCCCCAGTACTCTGTGTCTGGGCCCCTAGTTCTCTTCTCTGACAAGACCAAGGAGTTCATGCCCTCGGCCCTCCTGGTCCTCAGTCTCCCTCCCTGACCTGTGAGGATAAAAGTCCCACACCCAAAAACCAGCTGGACTTGAAGTTTCACCAAAGTCCTTGGAAACCTTTGCCACGACTGTTCCCTGCCCCCGAGCTCTAAGGACCCTGGCGTCCAAGGTCCCCAGCCTTGTAATTAGGTAAACAGGCTTCGTGGTGGAGTCGCTTCCCGCCCCTGGAAGCAGCTTTGCTGGCACCAGGGCCGCTTCCCTTTCAGACTCTGGACAGTTCCCTGAACCGTGGTCAATGCCTCGCTCAGGAAAAACCAGTGAGCTGCCACCTCCCTTGCCCTCATCTCCCTCTGGACCCCAGAGTCGGAAAACCACAGCCCACTCTCTGCTCCGCAGGGTGCCCACTGAGCTGCGAAGTGTGTAAGGGCCCCGGGCCCAGCTGCAGTGGGAGAATGAAGACGTGCGAGGCTGGCAAGGACGCCTGCGTGGTCCTGGTGGGGGAGTCCAGCACAAGTATGGGGGTGCAGCGTCAGACCGTGGGGGGCAGAAGATACCACCACACGGAGGAGGGAGGATCCCAGTTTTCGAAATAGCTGGAGTGTAGGAAGAAAATCAGAGGGAAGAGGGCTGAGTGGTCCCCAGGAAGCTCTGTTGACAGGGGTTCTGAAAAATGGGACGGTCCGGTAGGGAGGAAGATGGGGTGGGGGGCAGGGTGAGGAAAGGACATGGGAGACAGAAAAACAGTCAGAGGGAAAGAACCTAGCAGGTGAAGATGAAGTGGGAAAAGGGGAGACAGAAGGAAAAGACTATTCTGGGGTGGGGGTTGTGATCAGAGAAGAGAACATTCCTGACCGGAGGAGGAAGAGTGACATTGGGGTTGTATCTCCCCCAGGAAAGGGACCACCCAGACAGAAGAGGGAAGATAAGGAGCAAATCACCGGGGACAGGCAGAGATGGGACAGGAGAGGCCAGGAGGAAAATGGAGAGAGGAAGAGCATGACTTGAAGGAGACCATCCAAGACTCAAGAAAGGGTGGGGGTGATGGGGAGGAATGGGAGAGGCCACCGTAGGGAGTGGAGGCGGGCTTCCTGCAAAGTAGGAAGAGACTATCCATCTCAGGAGAAGAGGTGCCGGTCCCTAGGAGGGCACAAAGGCGGTGACAGATGAAGGACATCTTGGGGTACAAGAAGACACCATCCAGACAAGAGGGGGTGTGGCAGGAAAGTGGGATGGAAGACTTTGGAAGGGAGGCTTGGAAAGGCTCAGAAGCCCGTGTGTGGTCTGCCAGCATGGCCCCAGCCCTCCTCTCCTGTCGCCCACCCGCAGAGGGCCACCAGTCTGTGAATACCTACAAGAACTGCATGAAGTTCCGCGACTGCCACTCCGGTTTTGTATCTACCACCATGGGTCCCAAGGACTACATGGTAACCAACACGCACTGCTGCCAGAGTGACGGCTGTAACCGTGTCTCCGTGTCCCGTAAGTGCCAGCTCAGCCCCACCATAAGAGTCACGTGGTGTGTGCTCTGGCTGCCGCTGACCCACGCTGGAACATTGGGCACGCACCTGGCTGGCTCTGAGCCTCAGCTTCCTTACCTGTAAAATGCAGTGTCCATTTAACAACGCTGGCATTCCCGGGGTGGGTGGGAGGTTCGGGGAAGGGCTTAAACGTCCCTATCCACCCTGCGCTTCGTCCTCATCCCCAGCTCCCCTGAACAACCGCACGGAGAATGGCTTGTTGTGCCCGGCCTGCATCGCGCCCTTCCAGGAGACATGCCCAGGGACCCAGGCAGCCCGCTGCGTTGGCCAGGAGACCCACTGCATCTACTTTGCTGGCAACGTGCAAGCTGGTGAGGGACACCTGGGTCTCTGGGGGAGGCGGGGGGGCAGCCCCAGAATTAGAGGTCCATACCTCCGTTTCCAGGAGAGAGGACTCCAGAGAACTGGGCGGGGAGGGGGTAGAGGTCTGGAATCTGGTGACCCCTGAGTCACGAGGAAGAAGGAGCTGGGGCCCCTGACTCCAGTGTGAAATCCCCCTCCCAGGTATCTTCAACACCAAATTTGCCACCCGGGGCTGTGCTACGGCAAGTGCCTGCCACACCAGCGCTGGGGCCGAGGTGCCCTCAGCCTCCTATCTCTACTTCCTTCGCCGAGTAGACTGCCTTCCAGCTCCCCAGCCCCCGGGCAGGGCCGAGTGAAGAACTGAAGATGTGGCTTGAGATCCCCGTGTGTCCTCAGTCTGCGGCTCCCGATGTGCCTTATACATTAAACCAGTTAACCGAATGAGTCTGAGTCCGCGTGGTGTGAGGTGAGAGGCAGAGGGCAGGGGTTTCAATCCTCTTTCCTAGGACAAAGGGACAGCCCTGCCTTTCATGAGGGATTAAGCCTTGCTAAGCGTTTTCCATTGCTACACCTCACGGCATGATCACGACTCTAAGAAGCTATTATTATCCCCACTTTAGAGATGAACAAACGGAGGCACGGACTGCAGTGTCACTTGCCTTGGGCCAGACAGCTAGAGAGGGTCAGAGCCCTGACTTGAACCCAAGTCTGTCAGACTAGAGTCTATGAATCCTGAATAATTCCTCCCTCTCTTTGCCTCCGTTTTCATGTCCACAAACTACGGATATTTGTTTTGTTTTGTTTTGTTATAGGGCATGTGCGCTTGCAGGACAGACACAGAAAATGAGAAATCACCCTCTTCAGGGAGAATGGCCACATGGCAATCCCTTCTCCATTCTCCTCTTAGGATTTGACACATACGCACCCGCGCCAGATATGAGTTTTAAGCCACTGGCCCTGGGACTCGAACTGCAGCCGACTACGTAGGGGTCCAGCAACACGACCACTGCACCATCTGCTGGTCCCAGAATGTGGATATCAATAGCCATAACCTCACAGAATTGTAAGAGTTGGGACCAGCAGGTGGCATAGTGGCTAACGCACTGGACTCCCACATGGTTGACCATGATTCAAGTCCCAGACCTGGCGGGTTGAAACTCACACCAGGTGCGTGTGCGTACATGCCCAAAATACTGAGAGGAGAATGAAGAAGGGATTGCAGTGTGCCCATTGCTTTGGGAGGGTGTGTGTGGCGGGAGATTTCTTGCTTTCTGTCTCTTTGTCTCTCTTTGGCAAATACACGCAACTTAAAGGAAAACCTTTCAAAAAAAAAAGAACTGTAAGGGTCAAGTGACAGGAAGCTTACTAGCACTTTGTGCCGAGCCTAGCATTTTTAAGACAACGTTGGGAGATGTTGGAGACAGTAAGTCTGAGTAAATAGTAATCACCATAATAGCTGCCACTTGCTGCGTGGCCCTTAGTCGGCAGGTGTTAAACACGGGCATCAATAGGGACAGACTGCAGTAACAAACACGACCCTGATCTCAGTGGTTTAAAACAACAAGCTTGGATTAGTCAACTAATGCCACGAAAATGCTATGTCACAAACCATCCCCAAACCAGGACTTGAAAAAATAAGCGTTCTTCTAGGCGTTCGCGGTGTGGCTGGGCCGGCTCCAGCTTGGGAGGATTCAAGTCTCCTCCATAGGTTTCCACAACCTGGGATGGATGGCTGCTCGGTGAATGTTCTCGTGGCAGATCCAGGGCCCCAAAAGCCAAGTTCGTTGAAGGCCTTTACTGAGGTTAGGTCTGCGAACATCCCGCTGGGTAAGTTACATAGCCAAACTCAGCGTCGGTGGAGCAGGGAAGTATATGCCCCCTCCAGAAGGGAAAGGAGTGGACTTTCCTGAATAAGGCATTCAGAAAAGGTTGATTTACCTTCACCCTGTATGTGTGGCACCACCCACCGGGCGTTCTACTCATCGCAGTCAGAGAAGCCACCAACTCAGCCATGGTGGATGTTCATGCCTTAGGAAAGGGTTCAGTAAAGTCTCACACAGGCAGTTAAATGCTACGACCTAGAACTGACTTCGTAATTACAAAATACTGGCTGGAACTAGTCACGTGGCCTCACTCAACCACAGGTGGCCAGGAAGTGCAATCCTGCCCCGTGAACAGAAGACAGACAGCTGGACGCATTTCCTAAACAGCAAGAACCACCACAGCCTCTTAGAGGATGCATCCCATTTGGTGGCCACACTGTCTGTGACAGGCACTGTTGTTTTCATTCCTGTTTTCAGGAGATGAATCTGAGGCTCAGCGCAGGGATGGCACGCTGGGAGTCACCTGGCTAAAAAAGTGGCAGAGATTAAGATTTTAATCAGTGGGTCATGTTGAAGTGAGAAAAAAGACCCATCACAGAGAAAGGGAACAAGTAGGTATCAAGTTTAGTGGTTTACAACAATCACCTGTTATCTAGCTCATCACTCCTTGCGTCAGCAACTTGGCCTGGGATCAGCTGGGCAGTTCTGCTGGTTTCAGCTGCCTAGGCTGTGTCTCTATCACCCAGCAGGTTAGCTCAGGCTTCTTGATGTGACAGTGGTGGCAGAGGTCCCAAGGACAGCAAGAGACGTCTTAATGCATAATAAGCATTTTTAAATTTTTCCTCCCACTATAAGGCATATGTGCTCACCGGAGAGAGGCAAAGCAGAAATCTTCCCCCCGGAGGGAATAGCCACATCGCAATCCCTTCTCCCCTAATTCTCCTTGTAGGCTTTTAGATACTCATGTGCATGTGCTCAGTGTGATTTTCAAACTGCCAGGTCTGGAACTCAGCCCACATGGTAGGTCATATGGGATCCAGCCACCTTAACCACCACCCTACCTGGCTGGCCTCATGAGCGCTTTCATTTGTTAAAGACTTCTGCCAGGGGGACCAACAGTTAACGTAATGGCTATGTCGCTGGACTCCCATGTAGCCAACCCGTTCCAGTCCCGGACCTGGTGGCTTAAACTCACACTGGGCACGTGTGCGTGCGTGCCTAAGATCCTGAGAGAATGGAGGAGAAGGGATTACAGTGTGGCCATCCACCCTGGGGGGGTGATTTCTCGCTTTCTGTCTCTGTCTTTCTGGTGAGCACATGCACCCTATAGCAAAAACCTCTCCAAAATAAATAAATAAATAAATAAAAGACTTCTACCAGGGGCCAGCAGATGGCATAGTGGTTAAAGTACTAGACTTTCACATGGTTGGTTACAGTTCAAATCCTAGACCTGGCAACTAGGGCATCTGTCTGTGTATGCCCAAAATCCCAAGAGGAGAATGGAGAAGGGGATGCAGTACCCATCCTGGAAGATGACCTCTCACTTTCCCTCTCTCTCTTACGGTACACCCATCCTATGACAAAAACCTAAAAAAGAGTTTTGGCCAAAGGGCACAGGCACTCCCCAGAGAGACACACAGAAAGTGAGAAATCATCCCCAGGGGGTTGGCCATACCACAATCCCTTCTCCTCCATTCTCATCTTGGGAGTTTGGGCATGTGCACACACATACCCCATGTTTTTTTTTTTTTTTTTAAAGAATGATTTCATTATTTTTTTTCACATGAGTGTTTCTTTTTGGGGGGGGCGGGGGACAGTGGGAGTGAGAAGGCAAGCCACCAGGTCCAGGACTTGAACCATAGTCACTCATGTGAGAATTCTGGAGCCTCAACAATCATGCCATCTGTTGGCCCTCACACACCATGTTTGTTTTTGTTTTTTTTAAAGAGGTTTTTGCTATAGAGCACGTGCACTTGCCAGACAGAGAGACAGAGACAGAAAGCGAGAAATCATCCCCCAAGGGGCATGGCCATGCCGCAATCACTTCTCCTCCATTCTCCTCTCGGGATCTTGGGCACACACGGACACGTGCCCAGGGTGAATTTTAAGCCACCAAGTCTAGGACGCGAACCATGGTCAACTACATGGGAGTCCAGTGACATAGCCATTACACTAACTGCTGGTCCCCACACACCATGTTTTTTAAGCCACCAGGTCTGGGACTCCAATCGCACAGTCAGCCATGTGGGATCCACCGCCTTACTCATACCATCTGTAAGCATCTGCTTGCATGTTTGCTGTGGTACTAGCAGCCAAAGCAAATTACATGGCCAAGCCTGGAATCAGGATGAGAGGGACAATCCCATGGCAGGACTACAGAGGCTAGACAAATTGGGGGCATTAATGGGTCAAGCTGGTTCCAGGGCCAAGCTGCTTTACCATCTCCAACACCCAAGGCCAAAGTCTACCTTCCCCTCTCCCAAGGCGGTAAAGCTCAGATACACTAAAGTCTCTTGATCCTAGTCCATCTTTCCTTGACATATTTCCCACCATCCCTCCTCTGTCAGGACCTGGGAGTACGCCCCTCAACCCCCTATTCCCTCTGACCCAGGAGTCTGGGCTTCCATCTCAGTTGAGATCCCACCTGGTGGCATGGTGGTGGGGAAGGCGCTGGATCCCACACGGCTGACTGCACAGTTCGAGTTCCAAACCCATGTTTTCCCAGCTTGGAAGACATGCCTGGTACATGTGCATGCATGCCCGAAACTCCCAAGAGAAGAATCGAGAAGGGACTGTGGCATGGCCATCATCTAGGGGACGATTTCTCACCTCTCTCCCTCTCTCTCTAATTCTATTTGGAAGTACACACGCTCATAGCAAAAGCATCTCTTTTAGCCCCTTCAACCCCCAAAGAACAGACACACGGTGGAATTTCGATTCGTTTTTATTCATTCCTCCGAAAAGCACCGCAGCCGACCACGCTCTCGACTCGTCCTGCGTGTTTCCCCACCATAGTGCACGGTGGACCGAGTTCCTCCATGGTTATCCAGAAACGGACACAAGTCAGCTATGGGGACGAGCTTGCCTCACCCAAGTTTTTGCACCTGTTCTTGTGGCGATGGCAACATCAAGACTATACGTTTCCTTGAATTCCCATCTTCAAGGGTTTTCCAGGCCCAAGGTGCCACACAGACACACCCCATGGCAGCCAGTGATCATCCACGAGGGAGTCTTATTAGTCTTTTCTGCTTGAGTGCTCCCGGACAGATGCCTCCCAAGCGACCTTATGCCTTCACAAAGCCTAAAATTTAATTTCATCTACAGTCACGATTTAAAAGGCAACCACTCCCACAAGTAGTCATGACCCCTGGGGGTGCCAATAAACAACTACATAAACACAACCAGCACTCAACGGACACAAAACCAGAACTGTCTAGCTTCCTCAGATATGACCTCTGGTATGAGGGTAGAGGGAGCTCGGAGCAGCGAAGCATAGCTAAGGTGGCAGACAGGACCAAAGTGGCCAAAAAGGAGGGCACATGGTGAGCAAAGGCATGGTGGTGACACAGACATGCCCAGATTAGAGACATCATGGTGACGACCAGGGCTG